ATTATATTATATTTTATATAATTTATATTATATATATTAAATATAATATAATATTATATATTTTTATATAATATTATATTTTTCTTATATTTTTTTTATTTTTAAAACTAGAAAAGACAAATTAAAAAAAGACAAATTTCAAGATAATAAATTTTTAATAATTGTGTTATTGTGTTATCATATTTTGTTCTTGAAAATTAAAATTTTTATATATAATTTAATGTTTTATAATGTTTTTGGTAATGAAAATTCTTTAATTCTATCTAAAATTTCTATCTAAAATTTAAAAAAGAAATTTTGACAAAATTAAAACTTTTCTGTTAGATATTCGAAATGAATAAAAAAAAATTTTAGTATTTCTAGTATTAAAATAAATGACAATCATATCCATAAAGTTTTTCGCGAATTAAAAAATAAAAAAAAAAGAATATTTTCTTAACTATTGACTTTATAATTTTATTTATGAAATAAATAGGAATAATCCATTGATTCGTTAATTCATGAAAACTATGAAAGAATCTTATTATTAATTACGTGAAATAAAAATTCGTTTTCGCTTTTTCATTTTTCTTATTAAAAAACAGAACAATGAAATTTAAAAATTAAAATCGATATAAAAATGGCTGGAATTAATTTATTTGTTATATTAGCATAATCTTTGTCGATTAAGGGGTAGAAATTAAGACTAGATTTCAATAAAATTTATCTTAGTTTCATTTTCAAACGTTAATATTTTTTTTCTTTCATTTAATATAAATGTAATTTTTCATAAATTCAATTAAAAAATTTAATAAAAAAATCTGTGAATTGAATATATTATAAAAATATCAATATTTCTTGATTTTTTTCAATTTTTATAATTTCGTATTTCAAATAATTCTTTTTCTACCCCTCAAATTCTTTCAATGTTTTTCTAACCCTTCTTTTTTCTAAGTTAATGATAGTTTACTTTCATAATAGCTTTTCTATTTTCCTTCACAGATGAAATTTTCACGTTCAATACTGTACACCAATAACAAAACAGCAATAAGAATTCAATTTCTTGTAATGTTCGCTTCTAATATCAAAGAATCGCAATATTCGAGCAAGAATGTATACAAATTTTTTAAAAATTACTATTCAATTGGATTATGGAATCGTATTTACTTCTAAAATTAAGATTAGGAATGGGATACTTGAAATTTTAAATCATCGAAATTCAAGAAATTTCGAATTTTATTTAATATTTTTATTTAATTTTTTACAAATTAAAAATATTATTGGTTTAATTAAAAATTTTAATTATTGATTTATTAAGAATTTTAGAAATTACAATCGTTAAAATTTTAATTTTTCGATTTTTATCCGAGAAAAAGAAGAAATAAAATAATAAGCATTTAGCATTTCGTAAATATATTTGAAAATAAAATAAACTTAAAAATTAGATTTAGATCCATCTCTAATAAAAACGCATCTTTCAAATATAGAAATGTGTTATATTATTGTATGTGGAAAATATAATAAAATTTTCTCTCATTTTTTGAAGTTATATCATTTTTAGAAAAAATTATTTTGTACATTTTCACTGAGCGAGTTTCTTAATTTATATTTTTTTATATTATTATATATTATATTAATCTTATAATATAATTTTTCAATTCCATTTTCCATTGAATAGCGTTCTTTTATTAGTGATAGATATACTATATCGATTATTCGTCGCAGCAATCTCGTGTTAACAAAGGCAAGAGTCTTAATAGCAGTATTTGATTTCGATCAATATTTAACGATAAAATTGTCAATAAAAGTTTTCAGCTTTCGAGCTTTCATTGTCATTCGTTGCTTTACAATTTTCTTATCACTTTCATTTATTTTCATTTATAGATGGAAGTCTAAATATAAAATTGTAAGCTAAGAATGCTGAGATCAATTTGTCCAAGAATTAAAATTATTTCATTTTTAGAATATAGAAGAAAAAATGATTATTAAAAATGATATCAATATAACAAATTAAAAATATAAATGAATATAGGAGATATAAAAAGAATTCTAAATAAAATATATAAAAAAAAATGTTAAAATAGTTTAAAACTAAGAAGTGGAAAATAAAAATGATTCTTTTTGAAATCTAAAATTTAATTTTATAATCTAAATATTTAATTTAGAGCACAAGAATCCATTATAAATTTTCAATTTACTTTTTTCAATTTTTCAAATAAAATTTTCTAGATACGTATTATACTTAATCTATAATTAAATTGAATAAAAATAATTATATTCTATTTAAATAATTTGAAATATTCATAATGAAAAAAAACACTATTACTATTAACACACTTACCATTAATAGAATTACTAGTCATATAATGACAATAAGAATAATAATTATATGTACATTTTCAATATGATATGATAAAAATAAATTAGTTCACAGAATGTAACAAAACACATGATATAACCAAAAAAAAGTGATTCTACATATAAAAATATACTATAAATAAATAATAAAATTTTTTCATTTAAAGTTTTTTCCATTTTATATTTGTAAAATATTTTTTTCTTTAGTTTCATAATTATTTATTAAATTTTTCAATTTGATTTTCTTGAAAATATTTGAAATGAAAAAAATGTTTTTACGTTAATAATTATTTTTATGTATTAGAATAACTTCCTATCAATAATCAATTTGAATTTAGCTAAATTCACATGTACATAAATTTCCAAAATAAATTTTCTTTCAAAAGAGATCTTTAATAAAAAATTATATTCTATATTTTCCACATATTTTTGCACATATAGAATCACACCTTTCCAGATTGAATCAAAATTACTGTAACATTCTGTACAATCATTCTTATTCAAATAAAATTTAAAATTAATAATTACAAACTCAACAATAACTCAAATATAACAAAATTCAAAATTAATAATTCAAACTGCTAAATACACTATTCCTCAGCATTCCAAGCTCCACTTCCACCAATGTTACTTATCCCGCAACAAATGCTTGTATATATGTACAAAGGTCAAGTGGAAGAACTACACACGATTTATCGTTAGTTTTCATCCAACGATGAAAAATCGTCGACATTCCATGAAAAATGACCATGGTCGATGAAATATTCACCATTAAGGTATGTTTCACGAATGGGACATTGATTACATGATCGAAATGAAATCCAACGACAACGATGACGGTTGACATGGAGCAATCGAAATGGTATTTTCGTGTCATGGCACCGATGGCTATACGGTGATGGCAGGACAACGATAACGGATCCGACGATCCTGCTATCGGTAAGTTACCGATTCGTCAGCAGGAACAAGATTTCTTTGAACTATTCGGCGATTGATTTAATGCAAAACGTTCGCCATCTGTCTGATCCTGTGAACCATTTCCTTTCATCAGTTGATCGTTTTGGAGAATCTGAAAACAAAAGAAGAGTGGGTTTGTTAATAGATGGAAGTTAATTAGAATGATTCCTAACCTATATCTCTCAAAGAATCGTTACTTTTATTAACAAATTTTATTATTTATTTATTTTAGCATAACATTTTTCATAACTAAAATGAATTTTGTTTAGAATTTCAGTCATAAGGTATACAAAAATTGCGAATTGAGAATTATTTATTAAATTATAAGCAATTTAGGTTTGTGTTAAGTTATATCTTTTGTAGTATAATTTGTCTTGCTTTATTTAACATAAATTTTAAATGCTCGAAATTTAATAAATAAGACTTAATTAACATTCTTGAATATCAATTTTTGAATTTGTATATCTTTAAAATTGATTCTTCTATAAATATAATCCAATATTAATATTCAATGTTATGGATATAATTCATATTAGTTAAATAAATTTTTTTTCATTATATATATTATATTTAGAATATCACAAAATGCATTTCTATTTTTTATTATTATTATTTTATGTTGTATTATACAAAAATGATTATATATTTGTGTTTTTTATAAATTAAACAAATATTTAACTTATAATAATATAATAACATAATAGATTTTATTAATAAATATAGATATATTCATGAATTTTACTATTAAATATTATAGTCAATATATTTATGAAAATACGATAAAAAAAAATTGAAATTTCACATTATCAATCTTTCTCCTATTATTAACTAGCATTTTAAAAATTAATTAATAAAAAATCATTTTAAAAATTGTTTTGAAACAAATCAGTATCAATGCATAAGAAAAATATTTTCATCTTCCAAATGATGATTAATTTCGTAATAACATTTACACAATAATGATATTAACAATGAATTATATATTAATTTTACGAGAATAAATTTATCAGATCTTCTAATAAAATTAACTTAATATGCGACTATTTTCTGTTGTATATCAAGAGAATAAACAGAGAATACAAAATGAACTTATCGATACGCAGATGGTGTCATTGCACTGAATTAGTTTCTATCGGATAATAACAAATTAACTATGCGTCGTAAGACGATCACTTTGACGCGAGAACACGTCATTGATAAATCCACGAATAACAGCGCGAATAATACACGAGAACTGTTAATCGCGAGGGCAATATTCCACAAATAACTTGCGCGTAGATCTTGGAGTTGCTATCTTTATTAATTGAATTTCGCAGTCGAAATAATGAAAACAATTCTAAAAAATATTGATTACTGTAATATGTATTTCATATTTTAGATTTGAACTTTGTTTATTCGTTATATTACGATTTATCATATTTCATTCATGGCGATGATAATAGAATAGGCTGTCTAATATTATAAATTCTTTTATTTTAGAAAGAATCATTTGTAATTTGTTAATTTTAAGATTGAAAAATAAAGTTACATTTTTAAAAAAAATCATTCGAAATATTATAAAATAATTTTAAAAAATTATAAATTAATAAGAGACAATCCTTAAACTGTAATTGTTTCTTTTTTTTCAAGAATACTAAAGTAAAATAGACTTATCATATAATGTAAAGTATTAATTAATTTATAAATAAAAAAATTGTATAAAGATATTCCTTTTTTATGTGAACAATTATTACTTACTTTGTTAACAAGAAATCGTGCAGCCTCTTCAATGTTAATGTTCTCCTTGGCTGAAGTTTCAAACCATCCGGCAAAATTCTTCTCTTTACAATATTCGTCCATTTTCGCGGGCGAATTCACTAGGCCCTCTTTCTGCTGGTCACATTTGTTCGCTAAAAGGACACAGGGGATTGGTGAACCGTCAGGAAGTTGAACTTTCGAGTCTAAATCTTGTTTCCATTTCACCACCGCATCCAAAGTCGCGCTTCTCGTTACATCGAACACTATGAACGCGCCAACTGCTTCTTTGTAATATACTCTCGTCATGTTTCCGAATCTCTCTTGACCTGAATATCAGTAAAAATAACGATTTGATTAATATCTCGATATATTTTTCTACTTGCAGTCCTATCCATAAATTATGCCTGTCCATGAATAGAAATGTAAACTTGATAAATTAAAAAGATTGAGCTTTATATTATCACAATTATATTATCTTTTTTATTTTATTTTAATTTTTTGAATAAGAAAAAAATAGATTATTTTAGTTATTATTTAAAAGAAAATATTTCTGCAGAAATAATAAAAATATAATAATTATAATAGAAATTTAAATAAGGATATAGAATCAGTTTTAGATCAAAAATATAGATCAATAATAATTTCACATAAATTAATAGATTTTATATTTTACAAAAAATTTTTTGCATTAATAATATTTGTATTTGATATTTTCTTTTTTTAAATTCTCGAATTATATAAAATATGTTAATGATTCCAAAGTTTTGATTACAAGTATAGATTATTTAATATCTATGGAATAAAATTATTAAGAAATTATAACAAACCTGCAATATCCCATAATTGTAACCTTATGATAGTGTGCGAATCCCAGTTCAATACTTTCAATGCGAAGTCGACGCCAATTGTCGCGCGATAATGTTGGGAAAAGAATTGATGGACGTATCTCTTGATGATGGATGTCTTTCCGGCGCCCAACTCGCCGATTACCAGGATTTTATACAAATGTTCTCGTTTCTCGCCTAATCCGGCATTCGGCGAATTATTCTGTGACGACTGCGCAAGCAAAAATAAAATTTTTTTATTATTAAAAAATTCTTTAAGAAATCTTTATTTAAATATATTTTTTTTTTATCAATATTAAAAATATCAAGTATATTTTTGCAAATTGGAAAGAAAATTTATTTATAAATTATTAATCATTGATAATATGATTTTTATTAAAATATATATTTATTAAAGATTCTTGAAAAATATATAGTGTTTATATTCATTTTGTAAATTATTTGTTAAATTAAGAATTTTTGAAATCTATGAATATGATATAATTTTTGAAAAAATATTTGAATATAATTTATAGCAATTTAAGATAATAATTATTATGTCATAATTATATATACTTACGTATATAATAATATTATAATTAATAATTTTAAAATTTTTTGTCAATATTTTGTTGCGTTTATTACGATATATTATATTAATTATTCAATAATTATTTATCATTACATAATTAATTAAATATAATTAATAATATTGTTTAGTTATTACCAAAAAAATTATTAGGTCAAATTATAATAAACGACGGTTATCTTAAGTACTCTCATTGTTTTGTCTTAAGTACGGTACTAAAATGAATATCATTTTTTTCTCTCTTATCTTTGTTATGCAACTATATTGTTTGATATTTGACACAATTATTATGTATAATTAATAAAAAACATAACAAAATTAATATATTTTTAGAAATATAATGATAAAGTTCGTCGATTTTTTTTAAATAAATTATTTTTAAATGATATTTGTATTTAAATAAAATTTGTATTAAAGTTTTAGTTTAATTTTAATTTTTCAATTTTAATTTGGATTTAAATTTAAATTTATATAATCGAATTTAAATTTAAATTTGAATTTTACATAAATACAAAATAATAATTTTACAATTATTAGAATAAGATTTAAGATGATTCCATATTTTATAAGAATTTCATGCAACGATGTTGCATCTCTGAATTTACTACTACTTTAGTTATCTTATCATGTCACGAAGAAGAAAGGAAACGAAGATTAACGAGTAATAAACATTTTAACAGTATAATAAGTAATAAATCACAATTAAAAATATTTTACACACTTAATAATATTTACTTGTTAATTCATATATTTTATCACTAACATAATTCTTCTTAATAACCTTATATTAAATTTAATTTTTAATTTTATATAAACACAAAGTAACAATTATTGAAATAAGATTTAAGAAGATTAATCTACAATTTATTTCAATAAAAATTTTCGTAAATTTATTAATATCTATTACCGATTATAATACAAATTATTATAATACAAATTTCTGAAAAATTGAAAAAAACACTTTTATACGAAGAGAAAAATGAAAAAAGAAAGAAAGAATTAAATTAAGTAACCAACCCTGCACCATTTCCAATTTTTTGGATTTATCTTCAAGTCGGAGAAATTTAAAGAACGCGGAAACTTCCGATTTCTTTGCTCGCCCACCATATTGTTTTTAATGCGCACACTCGAATTATTCGTTTACGAATAGCAATAGTTTGTAGCTTGATCGAAACTTGACCGATTGTTAGTGAACCGATCGACGAACACCACGTGAATGATTCACCGACGAGAGTCGAGTGGAATGCAAATCGCCGTCTTGTGTCAAAGTGTATATTGAACTGTCATTGGTGTAGTGTTTACATATGCGTTGGAATTATTTAAGTACAGGATAGTGTAGATATTTTTAATACATTCGATATCATTTGCTTAATTATATGAGAATAAAGTAGTATAAATATTTATTGCATTCGATATCGTGTGATTAATTGTTTTGAATTATTTGTTTTTTTTTTTTTGATGTTTTAATTAGGATTCATATTCGTTATCATATGAATTATTATTGGATATTTCGCGATTGTTCATCTTTTTCAATTTATTGATTTAGAATTTGATTATTATACTATATCATTAAACGTTTTTGTATTTCTTCATTTCTTCATTTATACATTTTTGTATCATTCCTTTATTTTTTCATTTCATTTAGATATACTTTTTGTATATTATTTCTTCATTTCTTTATTATATAATTTCTTTTTAACTTTCGTTAAAATTTTTAATTATAATACAATTATATTTCATACAAAATTTTATTTTTTAATATAGTTATCAATATAAATGAATATTAAATTAATAAAAAAATAAATAAGCTATATTATTTTAATATGTACATATGTATGTATGTAATAATATTATTAATTAAGAACGTATGTACATAAGAGAAATAGAATTGTGGCATATTGTAATAAAATAAAACGACGATCAGAAATGTGATCCGTATTTCGTGGTTACACTCATGAGGATAATCCGCCATGGAAAATACCGCACGAAACGGTAACCATAAACTCGAAAGTAATAATAATAATCTGTTATAAAGGAAACCATAATGTTACTGCGTGTATAATACTCTATAATATTGTAACATTGTTATGTGCTATATTTAGTAGCAAAACTTAAGTTTTGTTTAAAAATTTATATGATTATTATTATAACATATAAAAATATTTCAATATTATATTAATTTTTTTATTAATTTTTATTAATTTATTAATTTAATTTATAAATGTAATTATTTTAATTTATGACTTTCTTTATAAATGTAAATTATATTATTAAATATAATGTAAATGTAAATTAAATTATTGTATCTTTGTATCTTTTATTTATTTATATATTAATTAATTAAGAATTTACTAAGTGTAACTAAAGTTTAGTAAGTGTAGTTTAGAAATCGACGATTTTACTATTTTTATTAAAAATATTCCATAACTAAATTTCTTTATATTTGAAATACACAAATATTACGAATAAAATGATAAATATTATTCATGTATTTGTTCAGAATTGTGAATATTATCTTAAGGTTAAATCAATATTTAAAAAGTGCCTATAATATAAGATCTTTTCAATGCAATGACACTACATTATTTTCGAAAATTATATTTTTAGATAATATAGACATAATCTATTTATCTTTTAAAGAAGATATCTTTAAGCATAAGAAGATATTTTAAGATATTTTAATATTTTAAATAAATAAATAATAAAATAATAAATAAGCTTTAATATTTTAAATAAATAAAG